CAGACAAAGAAGGAAAGAAATTTGGGGTGGAAGAGACCCAGAAGTTTACAGGGATCAGGGATTCATTTATGCCAGTGACATGAGTGAGGGGTGTAGCCATTTACCCAAAACACAGATGCAACAGAACTGAAAACAAGAGATCTAAGCTGTAACCACTGAAACCTAGTCAAGTGCTTCTCCAGATGACAGGTGGGGGCAGAGTGGGCACCTGGGTGGGGAGGGAATACGGGAACACGGGTGGAGGGAAGCTGATGCAGGAATTGGTGTTCAATGATTGTACGCCTAAACACAACTATCAATAACATTGAAAATACTGGCATTTTCATGAAGACTTTAAAAACAATACAACAAAATAAATTTCCAGATTTCAGCACCCACTGAGGTTAAAGACCCTCTAGTCCCAGCATTAGACTCCTTTATTTTTCCTGTGATGCTGAGACCATAGATGTAGTTGTGGGGATGGAGCTGGACCCCACCTTTCAAGTCGCATGCTCGGTCCACTGAGCACTCCAATGGCATAATAGTTTCAACAAGAGACTCTTACAGCACACTTGTATGCAATACCCCTGTTCCCTAAAGAAATTGCTGTAATGTCACATCCTAAACCTGTGATTTGAGTTCTGAAATCAAACAAAATGCACAATGAGAATTAGTCCAATGTTGAATGGAATGCAGTCGAATGACCAAACAGGTGGAGGACATCTCCATAGTTCTCACGGTCCAAGAAAGCCTACAGAAAGGGAAAATATGCGGGAAGTGTTGCTGAGAGGAGTTCGGTAATCCCCCCAAAAATCCTTTTGGGTTTTGTTTTTAATCAGACCCAGTGATGCTTGGGATACCATAGGGGATGCTGGACATCGAAGGTAGGCGGCATCTGTAAGGCAAGCACCCTCCGTGATGCACTGCTGTTCTGGTCCTAATTAACTTCACTATGGGCTCACAGTCACAATTTAACATACACACAATAAAACATTTTTTGGTGCGTACAAGCGTACAGTAGGTAGGCATTTGCCTAGCATGAGGCTGACAGGGTTTGATCATTACACACTGCTAAAAGCAACTTACGAGAACCACCAGAAATAACTGCTGAGCATCCGCAGGCCCCATAACAAAAGAAAACTCAATTTCTTCCCATTTTCAAAAAACCATGACAATGATCCAAAGGCAAATATATGCATTGTGTCAGATTGACTGAGCAGGGTCCAGAAAGGGTACCCGACCCTTTAATTGTACAGTCTGGCCAGTTATACAACTGGGAAAACAAGAGCCTTGAAACACATGGACTACTTGACATACCTGACAGATAGGGAAGAATCACAACAAAGTCGAGAAAGCAAAGCACTGGATCTCTCCGTAATGAACAGCTCCGGGGAGAAGACACCCCTACCCCATGCCACACCCCCACATTACATGTTCTAGGAATGAGAAGGGGATGCTCAATGTCCAATGAACAATGAAAAGATGTTGTGGACTGGAAGACTCCTGGGTTGGCCACATGCAAGGTAAGCATCCTACTTGCTCTACTATTACTCTGGCCATTTCTAAATAAATGGGAGAAAACGGGGGAAATGGGAGAGCACTTAGAAAGCGTTCAGGTTTAACTCTCAGTCATACAATGAAACACCCGTCCCTTCACCATGCCCACTTTCCATCACTAAAAACCCAAGTATAACGCCATTCCACAGTCTTCCTCTACCTGTGGGGCAGATAATTTCCAATTCTTCTCTCTACTTTGATTACATTCAATATTTTGACACAAGACCCACCATTATTATATGGGATTTTACTCCGGCAGTTAGATCTGGTGAAAACGCAACAGTAGACAATTCTTTTTCAATTGCTGGTTATAAATAACATATGATTTTGGAATTCTGAAATTTTAACAACTAAATCTGGAGGAATTTCTGCAAAAACCTGCTGGGTTCCGAGATTATGGCCATTAAACAGCTTAATCACGAGCCAGAGAGGCGGTTCGTGGGAATGACTTAGGCTCTTGTTGGGGTGGGGAGGAATTGGTCAGCTCCACACCCATCCTGCGAGGCCCCACGTATCTTCGTGAGTGTGGGCCCAAACCTGACTTTCCAAAGGCCTTTGGCGGATGGAGGCCACCGAGCCGCCAAGGGGGAACATTTGGGGAGACAGCACCAATTCCCCCTGGGGTGGACCTGGGACAGTAACCTACTGCAGGGTCCAGATGCTTTTCTGCTAAAAGGCACTGGGTTTCAAGATTTGTCTCTGAATCTCTGGGATCATGGCCATTACTCACCTTGATCACGAGCCATAGAAGTCAATCGTAGGTGCCAGACAACTCGGGCATCTGTAAGGCAAGCACCTTTCGTTGGGGCAGGGGGAAAAGGGCCGGCTCCACCACCATCCCATTAGGCCCTGCATGTCTTCTCACTGCAGTCCCAAACCTAACCGTCCAGAAGCCCTAAGAGATGGCGGCCACTGAACCGCCAGGCACAAAACCTATTCCCACCTGAAATACCCAGCTTAGGTAACCTACAGTGGGGACAGAACACATTTCTTCTGAAAGCCACTGGGTTCTGAAATTAGTTTCTGAGACTCTGGGATCATGGCCGTTAAACAGTGATCAAGAGCCAGAGAGTTCGTACATGGGCAGCGACTCGGGGTCTCATTGAGGTGGGGAAGAAAGTGCAGAGTCCAGCCCAATCCCATGAGGCTTTCCATGTCTTGTCACTGCAGGCCCAAACCTGTCTGTCCAATGGTCTATGGAAGATGCTGGCCACCGAGCCACCAAGTGGGATCAGGCGGAGACACACACCCTTTCCCCCTTGTGGTGGTCTGTCGCCGGTAGCTTATTACGGGTATCGGGCACATCTCTGCAAAAAGCCGCTGGGTTCCGAGATTTATCTCTGAGTCTCTGGGATCATAGCCTTTAAGAGGTTTCATCAGGAACCAGAGAGACCTTGCCTCCAATTATATTGCTGAGCAGGAAATGGTTTGTTGGTGTGTCTTGCACATACCTAACTTTGGCTGTTTTCTTTCTTGGAAGACTTTGCCCAAAGTTTTTGGAGTCTGGCCAAAGGCACAGCATCAATTTTGGAGTATCTGGAAGTCTGATGGTGCCATCAGGCTGCTGATGCAGTCGCCTTACAGCACAGATTGACCTGCTGGCGGTACCATAATCCCGGGTTGTAGAAATTCTATATATGGGAAAAAACACCAATAGTGGGGTTGGAATCACTGTGAAGCGACTAGGATGCTAGCCTCCCCATCCGATAGGTACCCAGCAGCACCACAGAATAATTCCTGAGATGCACAACCAGAAGTAAACCTTGTGCATCAAAGAATCCCTTCCAACTCCCCTGAATAAAAGCAGCTATTAAAATTAATCCAAAGAGGGGCTGAAGTGATACCAGAGCGGGTAAGAGGTTTGACTTGCACGTGACCAACCCGGGTTCGAATCCCAGGAACAATATGGTCCCCTGAGCTTTACCAGGAGTAATTCCTGAGTGCATAAGTCAGGAGAAATCCATGTGAAACGCTGAGTGTGACACAAAAAGCAAAAAAAAAAAAAATTATAATCCAAAGAGTAAATTTTCAAGGCATATACCTCTCACTTGTCTAAACACACCCCAAAGTGCCAAACCCAGCACTGAAGCCAGTGAAAATGACTGACGGCAAAAGTGACCCTTTCCTTTGGGGGCTGCCTGTCAACATATCTGGAGTTTCGATAAGTGTTAGGTCCAGTCCAAAGGCTCAAAACAGGGTCCTTCACAGTCTCCAGTAGGGAGGAACGAGATGACCAAGACCTCCACTCTTTGCAGGCTCCTCACACCAAGGCCTGAAGTCCATGTGCCCAACCTCCAGTGCCATCTTGGACCTGGATCGATGGTGGCTGCAGGGGCCCTCAGGATAACGCACCCTCACCCATGACACCTGAGTGACAGAACAGCACCCAATGCACCCCTCAAAAGCTCCACATCCACTAAAGCCTGGATATCCAGAACAAGTAGGAAAACACAAGCGTGAATGCTCCATACAAGCTGGCTTGACCTGGCGCTCAAGTTGCCAAACCAGGCTGCTCAAGCATCCCAAATCTTAACACAGGAAACACAGAAGAATGAAGGATTACCTATTTTTCCATTTTCAAAGTATTCAATGTTGCATCTTGGTTGATTTCTGCCATAATTCCCACTAACCAGCCCCACTGGGCAAAGCCAGAAGCATAGCAAACAATAACAGAGTAGTGAGCCATGACAGCTCTGAGCAGGAGGGTGTTTCTGTATCTGTTTATTCAGTCACCTTCCTCCTTATTTTCATCACCATGGCCCATTATTTACAAGTTAACACACAAGCAATTCCAAGCACAAGAATACTGGCATAGGTGCAGCCCGGGTGAAAATCAGCAGGCTTCAGCAAAGTACTTCCCACATACCTTACATATATACGGTTTCTCTCCACTGTGAATTCTCCTAAAAGGTAAAGGTAAAGGTAAAGGCCCTCCCGTTGTTCATCGATTTGCTCGAGCGGGCCCAGTAACGTCTCCATTGGAGACTTTGTTGTTACTGTGTCTGGCATATCGAATACTCTCGGTAGCTTGCCGGGCTCTCCGAGAGGGGCGGAGGAATCGAACTCGGGTCGGCCATGTTGGCCGCTTGTAAGGCGAACGCCCTACCCGCTGTGCTATCGCTCCAGCCCTATGTATAATCTCCTATGTGAATCTCCTATGTGAATTCTCCTATGTATAATCAATTGCGAGGATGAAGTAAAGGCCTTTCCTCATTCCTTACATATATATGGTTTCTCTCCAGTGTGAATTCTCCTATGTACACAAAGGTATGAGGCTTCAGCAAAGGACTTTCCACATTCCTTACATATATTATAGTTTATCTCCAGTGTGAATTCTCCTATGTACACTAAGTCTTGAGGCTCCAGCAAAGGCCTTCCCACATTCCTTACATATATTATAGTTTATCTCCAGTGTGAATTCTCCTATGTACACTAAGTCTTGAGGCTCCAGCAAAGGCCTTCCCACATTCCTTACATATATATGGTTTCTCTCCAGTGTGAATTCTCCTATGTATAGTAAGGCTTGAGGATTGAGCAAAGGCCTTCCCACATTCCTTACATATATACGGTTTCTCTCCAGTGTGAATTCTCCTATGTACACTAAGGTTTGAGGCATCAGCAAAGGACTTCCCACAGTCCTTACATATATATGGTTTCTCTCCAGTGTGAATTCTCCTATGTACACTAAGGTTTGAGGCTTCAGCAAAGGACTTCCCACATTCCTTACATATATACGGTTTCTCTCCAGTGTGAATTCTCCTATGTACACTAAGTTTTGTGGCCAAAATAAAGGCCTTTCCACATTCCTTTACAAACATAGGGTCTCTCTCCAGTGTGAATTTTCCAATGTTCACTAAGTCTTGAGGCCAAAGCAAAGGCCTTTCCACATTCCTTACATATATACGGTTTCTCTCCAGTGTGAATTCTCCTATGTACACCAAGGCTTGAGGATTGAGCAAAGGCCTTCCCACATTCCTTACATATATACGGCTTCTCTACTGTGTGAATTCTCCTATGTACACTAAGATTTGAGGCTTTCACAAAGGCCTTCCCACATTCCTTACATATATACGGTTTCTCTCCAGTGTGAATTCTCCTATGTACACTACGACTTGAGGCTTTCGCAAAGGCCTTCCCACATTCCTTACATATATACGGTTTATCTCCAGTGTGAATACTTCTATGTATACTGAGGCCTGAGGATCGAGTAAAGGCATTAGCACACGGCTGACATATATAAGGCTTCTCTGCACTATGAGTTTTCATAGGTCCATTAAGACTAGAGGTCTGAATAAAGGCCTTCCCGCATGTCTGACATTCATGAGGTTTCTCTCCTGTATGAATTCTCCTATGCATAATAAGATGTGATTGATCGAAGGCCTTCCCACATGCTTCACATGCAAAAGGTTTCATTCCTGAATTTATATTCATATGGTCATGATGGAGTAACCCTTGACTCACACTTTGTTCTTGGGGCTGACATTTCTGGGGATTCTGTCCACTATGGTTTTCTAAGGGGACACCACAGTGCTGAGAACATGGGGAGGCTCCCCCACATTCCTTAAACCTAGATGGGTTCTGCTCACGGTGATTGTGGTTGAGGGTATGTTGCTGTGAGGGACTCACTATAAACAGTGCTTCTCTCCCTAGCAGGTGCCCCATTGGGGAATTTTGTGTCTGTGAACTGAGAATAACACACTCCAAGGAACTTTTTCCAGGAGAGGGCTTCTTCAGAGTGAGGTAGCTCTCACCATTCTGATCACCCTCAGAAGACATCCCGCCTGTCTCGTCGTCCTCATGGGGCTGAGGGCAGGATTGATCACTCGAGACATTATCATACAGTGCAGGATCAGAGACATTCCACTCGGGGTGGAAGCTTTCCTGTAGAACAACAGAGGATTCTAATTACTGACTTATTCACTGAGTCTTCCTGTCAAAAAACTAAGCCCTTCAGATGTAGTTTCACACATATGCACCGCAAAAATGCAATTACTGACATATGAATTGTGTTACTATTGAATAACTTCATGTTACCGTAAGTTGGATGCACAACATTGATGGATAGAGAGTAAATTCTGTGACTTCCCCCCCTTTTAAATTAATGAAGGAATACAACTAGAAATAATTCCTTCTATAGAAAATGGACACATCCATTTCAAGAGAAAATGAAATAGATCCACATGTGGATTTGGTTAAAGTTCCGTGTGGAACATGTGATGCAGGGGTGAAGACTACGCTGCATCGTAAAGCAGCTGAGACAGACCACATGACCATTGCAATGCTCTCACTACAAGTGATGCCTTTCAGGATCAATGAAGTTTTTTTTTTTCTTTCTGTTTTGTAGTTTCTATTTATTGGAGGTTGGGTGGGTGGAGTGGCACACCATGCAGTGTCTAGGATCAGTTCTGTGGGTCTATGCTGTCTATAAGGGATGCTGGGTAAGGACCATACATCCCTATGCAAAACAAGTATATTTCTCATTGCACCATCTCTAGGGAGCACAAATTAGCTTTCTAAACAACTACCACTGTCAAGCCAATCAAAACTCACAGTACTTTTTATACATGGTTGATTTCAGCACCTAGCAAAGCTAAGAGTCCTCTACTCCAAGCATCAGATTTTGGAATTTCTCCCTGACAATCCCATACCTCCACCTTTACAATCACATACTTGGTCCACTCCTGCTGGCATAATAATATTTATTCTGTATTCGTGAATCTTACCAACTCACTCGTACTTGCTGACCCCATTCCCAAATCAAAGTGCTGTAATGCCAAATTCTGAAGTCGCGGTTTCAGTTCTGAAACTGAAGAGGACATGCAATTCACACATGTCACACATGTCACAATAGGTAGCAAAATGATGCCATGTAGTTAAGAGTACATCTCTGTGGTTCTCAAAGTCCAAAGAGTCCCACACTAAACAAAAGATTCGGATAGTGGAAAACTGTGAGGATCTTGGCAATTCTACACTAGGTTATGCTTTTGTTTTTGAGTAGACCTGGTGATGTTTGGGGAACCAGGTTATTGAACAGATTATTGAACAGGTCACATTCAGGCACTGCAAGGCGCTCCCTGCTGTACTATAGTTTAGATCCAAACTATCTGTGTTATGGTATTATTTATTCGAAAGCCATGGAAGCAAATTACAGGATCATTCTGTGATTGACAGTCCAGGGAAATGAAGAGCAGCTTGAGTGCGGCACAGACCCAAGGATCCAGGAGACCAAGGCCCCAGCCTCAGCAGCGTGTTCCATACATGCTCAGGGCACCCATACACTTCACAGGGCCTGAGCCAGGAAGAGTCCTCAGACACCCGCACACACGCCTCTCCTACCCGACCTCAGAGCTCCTCCTTCCAGCCAGGAGATCACTGCAGGCTTCATTCCAGTGCGCCCTGCCCCAACAGAGACAGAGGCATGGATAAGTCACAGGGAAAAGGTGACAGGTAAATGCCCATGTTTTCCTGATATAAGTGGGCATATATCTGAAAATCATGAACAGAATGTCCATTTCCAAAATTCCACATATTTCTAGTTATTCGAGAGGTAAGACCCAAGAAAATATCACAAATACTCTAGACCTGGCCTTATGTGTGGCCGACAGGGGGTTGATTAGCACAGTATGTTTTTGTTTTTTGTCTTGTTTTGGGCCTCACCTGGCAATAATCAGGGGAGACTCCTGACTCTGTATTCAGAAATCACTGCTGCTAGTGCTCGGGGATGACATGGGTTGCCGGGAATTTAATCCACGTGCGCCGCTTGCAAGAAAATCACTTTCCTCCCTGTACTGTCTCTCTAGGCCCAGCAGCACATGGAGTTTCCTCAGCCCCTCATGAACGTTTCACAGATTTCAGTAAAACTAAGTGCATAATAAATCTGGAAATGGCCAAGGGTGACAAGATACCCTTATTTTTTAAGCTAAAAATGTATTCAGAAAGAGAGCACAGCAGGAGTTTCTCACGGACAATCCAGTTGTGATACCCGATATCTCCTAGGGTCCCTCATGCCAGCCAGGAGCGATCCCTGAGTGCAGAGTCCAGAAGCAAACCCTACGTCCTGCTGAAGTCTCACAAGAACCATTAGAAGTAAATCAAAGCACTGAAATAGGGCAGCGTCTAATGAGTTGAGAGACGAGATATCAAATCCCCTGTGGTGGGAAAGAGATAGTACAGCAGATAAGACAGAAGCGCTGCACACACATGTGGGTTTGATCCTAGGCAGCCCATATGGTCTTGGAGCAAGGCCAGGTGTGGATCCTGAATACACATGCAGAAATAATCCCTAATCCCTAAGGAAAAAAGAAAATGCAAAAACCGTCTGACTTGAGTGACTGATGCGAAAGTACTGGGGGTGATGCACTGACAGTTTAACTTGCCAAGAGGTTTCAATATACGGTTCCATATGGCCCCTGAACACTCTTAGGTGTCATCCTTTAGCACAGAGCCAAGAGAACTGTGGACTGTGCCCCCCAAACAAAGGCAAAAGCAAAACCAATTAAACACACAAAATTTCGTGTAGTACACAAAGTAAATTGTTGCACCAATGGATGGAACTATTTAAAGGGACCTGAGTGATAACTGGACAGATAGGGATCTTCCCATGGACACAGTCGAAAACGGTTGATCTGAATCACCCCATAGGGTCCGGCTACCCCACAAGAGTAATTCCTGAAGACAAAGCTGAGAGTAAGCCCTGAGTATCCACAGGTGAACCCTAAAAAACACGAGGGAGGGAAGAGCTACTGCACGCCCGTCACAGAGCTACTGTTGGACACACAGCTTCCGCCCAACCCCAGGGAGCCAACGCGGGTCTGTTTAGACATGGTTGGCTCCACACTGCTCTCACCGACAGCCTGCAGATTCTGGTAGGTCTCCAGCATCACGTCCCTGTAGAGCTTCCGCTGAGAGGCCTCCAGGCATGACCATTCCACTGGGGTGAAGTTCACAGCCACGTCGTGGAAGGTCACTGTGTCCTGAGTCAGCACACGAAGAGGGTGGGAGTCAGAGTCTATTTTAGCCTCATTCACACTACTCTGAGGCCAGGTCCCAGGGTCCTATATTGTCGCTGGGCCTCTCCACTCCAAATGAACCAGCCACCATGCTCACGCAATGACTGATGGGCCCCAAAAATCACATAAGGCAACTGGATCTGCAAAAGTGGGAGGACGTTATACAGAAGGTTCTTGGATGTATCTGCCTTTCCTGGTAACCCCCCAGCCAATTCGAGCACCACTGGTCCAGTGAGCACTGTAGAGAAGATCACCTGAACACAGACTGGTACGATCCAAAAGACTATCCCTGAGTGTAGCAAAAACCACTGCACACTCACCGCTGCACCCCCACAGCTCATGACCACTAGGATTTAGAACTCGACAGTCCATACAGACAACTACTCAGAGCAATGCATGGCATGTGTGCCTGTAGGAACTCACTGCACTGGACCTCCCCACATCCTGCTCAAAGAAGTTAGAAGTTTCTTGACCCCAACATCTCTACTGGCCGCAGAGATCCTTGGCTCTTTCTCCTTGGGATCAGCACATGCCCAGAAATCCACACACAAGATTATGTGAACGTAAGATTATATGACCGAGCAGGTAGTCTCTCCAAAGTAGGAAGGACAAAACAGGAGAAAAGCAAGTCTGGGGGCCCAAGTCACTGTAGTTGCCAGGGCGCAAACAGGGCCAACACACCCCAGGGTGCTCTGAGGCCAGTTAGTTGTGAATCCAGAGCACAGAGTCAAGAGGACAGCTGATGACAAAAACGATGCAAAAGAAGCCAAAGCAGCAGGTTGGCGTAACAGGACAGCTGTTCCAGGGACAGCATGTAGGACTAGCGATCCCCAACATCCCATATGGTCCACAAGCACTGCCAGGGGCAATGCCAGAGTGCAGCACAAGAAATGATTGCAAGAATCCTTGCTCTGCCACCCCAAAGAAAACAGAAAACCCAAGATGAAACCTTTGGCCCTCCATCATCCCATTCGTCACCTAGACCTTTCAGGAATGAGCATTGAGCACTGAGCTTTGAGTACTCCTCATGCACCACTGGGTCGGCCCCAAAGCCAAATAAAACAAAAAAAACATACACAAAAGCAGCTTCAAACAGCAGAATGGGACGGTCCGATCGGAAATCTCATCTTGGAATCCGTCCAAAAGAAACTCAAAACAGAT